TAGGAGATGCGAATAGTCGCGAAGCTATTTACCTGGAATGCGTATCGAATAGCTGGCGTTAGTCTGGTTTGAAGGAGTATGATATGAGCGCTTGTCAGAAGGGACTAACATGTGGAAAATATGCTTTGATAAAAAGATATAAAAAATAAGTGTTTTGTGTTTCCTCTCATTCTCTCTCACTCTCTCTCCCTCTCTCTCTCTCTCTCTCTCTCTCTCTCTCTCTCTCTCTCTCTCTCTCTCTCTCTCTCTCTCTCTCTCTCTCTCTCTCTCTCTCTCTCCCCTTACTCTCTTCTCATATACAGCCATGGATCAAGCATACAGTTTTACAACGGATTTGAGACAGCGGCCAAATGTGCAAAAGAAAAGATCAACGACAGAATGTTGGTGATGAAGGTTTTTCAGCAAAACAAAAGAAAATCTGACTACATGAAGCCTTGCCAAATCCCTCGAAGCGAAATCATGTTACCGTACACTGCACAGGACATCATTAACACCTAACATTGCTGTACCCATACATGGAACAATAAATCACCACGCCAGTAAGTTCATACGTCAAATAATGCGGCACTATGTCAAACAATGCATCTTTGCGTCACATAAGGCGTCACACGTCTGAAGGCGTCGTTAAAGCCTTGTCAGTGCTCTCGGAACTCAGGCGAGCACGTTTTTACTCCGAAATCCGACAGTCGCCATTTGCAGTGACGTCATGTACCGAATATACGCCTTGGATTTTCTATAGACGCATGCACGCTGTAAAACTACGTGTTGAGATATTCGGTCCCAAATGACCAGGGCTCCGCCACTGGGGGGTTGGGGCTACGCATCCCCGCAATCAAACTGCCCAGCTTTGACAAAATACAAATACTTTTGTATCACCGGCCTTTGTCATCAATCTGAAACTAGCATCACCATGACCTGACCCTGACCTTGACCTTTGACCTGCAGGTGATCGCCGGCACCGCCTCGGAGGGCGTGCTTCGAGTGGGTGACGTCATCACCGCCATTAAAGGTCAGGACGCTACCTGTCTCAGCCACCAGGAGGCCACTGAGCTCTTCAAGAGCGCCGGCAATCAGCTGAACTTGGTTCTTGCCAGGTAGGTCGACTTGTGGGAGAAGGGAGGATGGAAAGAGAGAGAGAGAGAGAGAGAGAGAGAGAGAGAGAGAGAGAGAGAGAGAGAGAGAGAGAGAGAAGAGGCGAGAGAGAATAGAGGGCAAGAGTAGGTAGAGTAAAGAGCACATAAGGAGAGAGTATAGAGAGGGAAAGACCGAAAGAGTCAGAATTTAAGGCGAGAGAAGAGAGAGAGAATGAAAAGAGAGAAAGAGAAGAGAGAGAGAGAGAGAGAGAGAGAGAGAGAGAGGGGGGGGGGACGGTGCCGGGGCGTAGATGAGGACATTTTATACATTACCATACATTATCCATGTTGACATTGTGTGCTCTGATGGCTGTCTATGAAGCATGTTAACAGAATGCATGTGACTGTTAAAGCAGGAGAAAGAATGTGGAAAAAAGAGTAGAAACGAAAAGCCTATAAAACAGACAACGGAAAACGATATTAACAGAGAAAATTAACAGCAAGTAAAGTCGATGACATGGAGGCGATAAACACTATGAAGGTGGAAAGCAAGATGCAGAAAGGCGCAACGAGGAGAAGAGACAACAGTACCAAAAAAGTCACACCCGAACGACATTTTTGGCAACAGAACCCCTCTAGGCAATGTGCATTGTGCATTGCATATTCACCGTACACATTGACACAGTGGTACTCCGACACTATACATAGAGAGCAGCCCTTGATCCCCAGGCGTTTCCCCTGAGGAGCCGTGGAGCGGCTGACCAGTGGCAAATGTTCCTCCCCCTGGGATCGACCACTGAGAATATTGGCCTCATTTACCTCCCGGCGACCACCCCCAGCGGGGGGGCGAGGTCGAGGGGGTCAGTGGGGGGGGGGGGTAGTGGTGTCATCGCATTGGCGCCCAAATGTCACATCCGAGGTGTGGGGGCATTGGCGCTGATCGACAAGTGTTGCTGAGCAGTTTGGGCCTGCCTTAGGATAAAATAAGTACAAAGAGCGACATGCGTACCATAAAGATGATAAAAAGCTGTGTGGTGGTCTTATGATGTCAAATATGTTTTTACATATAAGTTTGTGGCGGTGAATTGTTGTATAATTGTTGTATGTGTGTTACCCGTGCTCAAATTCCACAAATTTAGCGAGCCAAACCAGTTACTATTGGCTGAGTATAGATTAGTTTCCAGATCGGCATTCCATTTTATTTCACAAGTAGTTGAGTGGAAAATTATGAGGAAAGGCTTTCCTGTGACAAGGAACAATTCCTTTTAAATTTTAATCATTTTAACTTCATTCAGAGCCACCATTGTTGTCGACCAAGGCTGTTTAGCAGCTGTCTCTGTAAGAGAAATATTTTGATTTTTACACATTCATGTTTGATAAAAGCTGCAAAATGATGAAATCAAGCACACCGATTAGTTGATATTTGGTTAAGTTCTTTTATAGGTCATAAGGTAAAGAGACACTAGCTACCAACATCGGGCCAAGAATGATGCCACAAAATAACACAATTATCCCACAGTTTTGTCTCAACAAATCACATGAGCCTGACCTAGATCCAGCTGTCATTGTGAAAACCGGGCCACATTCGTATAGCTACGCTCCCGCTCAGCTCGGTTTCAATCAAATCTGGCCATACGCTGTCGCTACATCGTGTTGCCAGGCCGGTTCCCTCAAACTCGCCTGGAAACCGAATCGATCCACCAACAGACAAGCCCAGGAAAGTAGACTTAATTTAAGGTCAGTGGCTCCGTCGCCAGCAATTGCAACGAACAAAAGCCTTCACAGGGGGCTACGTTAGTCAGGTTTTTCAGTAAGATGACTGAATCCACGGTGACTATACTGAATCGATCCTCCAATCCCTTGTGAAAGCAGATACTAGAGAAGTTTTCGCCAGAAATCTTCAGGCGACCTGGCTGTTAGGGTCGCTTGCTAGGCAAATGAAATATGAGGAGCGGGGCTTTTCCCGGTGAAATGTCATCTTTTATGTGTCACAGGAGAGGCAATTGGCAGGCTTTTGTCTCATAAATGACACGGTTTATAGTTCGTTTTTTTTTTTTCAAAAGGACGCTGGCTCAAAGTGCATTACCGAAGCTCTCACGTGAGTTTTGGCAGCTTCAGCGTCTGGCTAAGAATTTCTTACCGAAAAAATATCCGATTTCAAATTGTGCACGGTAAGTACCCGGAAATTGTGTCCTGAAAAATTAGCATACTATGATGACGTCACTGGTGGCAGCAGGCACCCAATATCCGTAAGATGGGACAAACTTTTGACGAATTTGGGGGATATTTCGTTTTTCACTGTTGCCGAGGTTATAATCGAGTAAGCGGTTTCGTCCATGATAGTTATACGTTACACTGCAATACAAGTTCGACAGCATGACGTCACCACTGTTCTCATATCTGGCTCCAAAACGCACGTATGGAAATAATCAGGAATACTTCACATGTTAAAATAAGGCGACGTTCGAGTTTCTCTGGTTTAGTTCAAGGCCGTATAAGTTAGGTAAGATCGTCCGGGCTCGCTAATGTTACAAATCTGCAGCACTACGGTGACGTCACCGGAGCATACGCTCCCTGGCTCCATCCGGACCCTGATGCGGCGGCTGCAATCGCTGCTAATCGAAAAATTACTTGTGCAATAGCGCTTTTAAATGACTTTAAAAAGGGGGAAAATATGATAGCAAAATAATTATGGTGCCTTCCACGATCATTCTGTGCGCCGATGGCGCATTTTCAGTGTCCAGCACTCTAGTCGCCCTCGACGATAAGCCATTGCGACGTCCTCAATCCTCATGCGGTACTGGCGCCCAGATTTACAATTTTATATCTCTTTGTGGGTGAAGATGCACCCACAATCCTGAAATGCCGGATATCCACTCCCAATCTCCTGACCATCTAGCGCCCTCGGCTCACCTTTAGCGCCCTTCTGTCTGTTCGGCGCCCTTCTCGGCCTTCAGCGCTCTCCTGGCCTGTCGGCACCCTCCTAACATTCGGCGCCCTCCGGGCAGACCAGTTAGCGCCCTCATGGACATTATCACACAGCATCCTCCTGATCTGTCTCGCCCTCCACACTTGTCAGCGCCCTCCTGACCTGACAGCGCCTATCGTATTATAGCGCCCTCCTCACCGTACAGTGCCCTCCTGACCTGTCGCCATCCTCCTCACTGTATAGCGGCCTCCTAACCATGCAAAGCCCTCCAGACCGGCGCCCTCTACGTTCAGCGCCCTCCTGACAAGTCGGTGCCCTTTTCACCGCAGACGGCCCTCCTGATCTGTCGGCGCCCTCCTGACCGTACATCGCCTTCCTCACCTTGTCCGCGCCCTCCTCTTTATACAGTGTCCTCCTGACCTGTCAGCGCCCTCTTCACTCGTATAGTGCCCTTCTCATCGTACAACATCCTCCTAACCATGGGCGCCCTCCTGACCTGTCCGCGCTCTCCTCATCATACAGCGCCCTGCTGCCTTGTCGGCGCCCTCTTCACGGACAGCGTTCTCCAGATCTGTCGCAGCCCTTATCACCGTGCAGTGCCCTCCTAGTCCTGACCTGTCAGCGCCCTCGCCTGTCGGCGACATCTTCGCGTTCAGCGCCCTCCTGACCAGCCTGCGCCTTTTGCAACGCATAGCGCCCTCATCACCATGCATCGCCCTCCCGACCAGTCAGCGTCGCCGTTCATCGTACAGCACCCTCCTGACCTGTCGGCGCCCTCCTCACAGCACAACGGCCTTCTGACCGGTAAGCGTTGTCCTCACCAAGCAGACAATGTAACACTTGACAATAAGGAAAGCGTTAAGTAGCCTATGCTTAACCCTCGCCGGCACAGGCCACTTTGCGTCATTCGACGGCACAAGGGGGGGGGGGGTACGACCCCCCTCGCGTTTGGCCCCTGATTGAGCTAGAGCTTCGCGGAAAAACGAGCGTGTTGCCCGTCACGAGAGGAAGCCGATGATATCCAATTTTAAGATCCTAGGTCATCGGGTGACCTTCTAGGTCAGGTCAATGACCCAAAAATCAGGAATATCGGGACCTGTTAGAAAGTCGTAAAGTGTGGCTGCTATGGAGTTCTCCGGGGTGCTTATCACGAATATCGTGTTAGTTTTGATCAGAGATGATGTCTTTAAGCATTTAGACCAGGTCGGGTCAGGTCAGGTCAGGTCAACCGGTAGAGGTCGTGACGGGTATTCGTAATACGTGTCAACCGCCTCTGACAGCTTCGTAACATGTTACGAAGGCACCAAAATTACTTTGTAAATGTTCAAATGGTTGCTAAATTCGAAATCAGCTCCAAAAACTGGCCTAGAAAGATGTAAAACTCGAAAAAGTGAACCGAGGTCACCAAAGGTCAATGACCTGACCTGACCTTCAGGTGACCTTGACATCCACCCTAATGCATAAGAGCAACATCAAATCACATGTTTGAACGTTTGAAACCACGTAAAGCTTGCAAACGCGCGGCTAATGCGAGCCGACATACGCCGAATCGCGATTCCGGCCAAACATGGTCTCGGAAAGTAGGTCACAGGTCAAAGGTCATTTGGGTCAGGGTCATGAAATTTTCAGGATAGGTGTACAATTGATCAATGCGAGGGTACTGAAAGTTACGTTGCGATCGGCCGCTTTTTACGCTAGTTATTCGCGAAAAACCTTAGGGGGGGTTGCATCAACTCAACTCCCTGTGCCGGCGAGGGAGTTTAGGCGCGAAGTAGTAATGAAGCAATTTCCGGAAAGTAAATGGATGAAAACGTTTCCAGCGTTTCCGGAACGTTTCCGGAAAGGAATTTGTTTACAACCGTGACCCTCAAAATCGTATTTAAGGCCAAACTTGCGGGGAAGGCCAGCTGACAAGTGTACGCCCCGGTGACGTCACGGGTAATGTTAAACAGTCGGGCGCCCGGCACATAGGAAAGCTCGGGATGACAGCCCCCTGGTTTAGTTTTTGCTCGTTTTGCTCGCTAAAACGAGTGCTTTTTCGAAAAACATACTTGGAGCCAGAGTCCTTTTGAAAAAAACGAACTATAGTTAT